ACCAGTAAAGCACAGGAATGACCTTGCAGCTTGTTTCCCTTAATTTTTTTTTTTCTTGTACAGGCACAATTAAGAGTAGGAGAAGAAGGGCATGTTTGGTTTAACTCGTGAGAGTTTTTATTTTTTGAATATTGTTATGAATAATAAGTTTAAATTTTTATTGGAGGAAAAATTTTAAAGTTACTTTTAAAGATAAAAAAAAGAGTAAAAAGTAAATAAAAATAAAATTTATGAAAAGTTTGGATTTTAAGTTTTTGAGTTTTTATTGATTGAAATCTTTTTAAAATTAAAAAAAAAGTTAAAAAATGTAAGTTTTTAAGAGGAAAATTAAAACTTATGAAACATGAATAATGTCAAAAAGTTGAAACTCCTAGGAGCTTCATCAAACAGGCTCAAAGAATTATAATATAATAATGTTATAACTTAAATTTTGGTCATTAATAAAATATTAAGTGCACTTATTAAGTAATTCATAAGATTTGGTATTCTTTTAAATTTAATCACATTTAAAGTGATTGAAAATTTGAAATTTTTATCATTAATTATGTAATTTAATAGTAGATTTATATCTTTTTTTAGTTATACGTTTAAGGTCCAATCTTTTGTCTTTATTTTTTTTAAAAAAAAGAGATTGAATTCTTTTGTTCTAAAATAATTGTTATATTTTATTTTTTAAATTAAAGATTTAAGAAAAACTTATTTTTTTTATTTATATTATTGTTAAAAAAAATTAAAGATCAAGAAAGAATTTTTAAAATGAATAAATAATTAAAGTAAATAGAATAAAATGATATTAAAGTAAAAATATTTATATATTTAAAAAATAAATAATAATTAATTTAAAATAAATTTAAAGTTAAAAAAATAAAAATTACTATTTTGAGATGAAGAGACTAACTAAAAATCTTAAATTCAAATTCTAAAATAAATGAAAATATTATCGGAAAAAATGAGGTGTAGTGTAGTACTATAATCTATTACATTAAAAAAAAAAACAAAAAAGCTTGCAGCTTGGTGAAGTATGCACACCTGGTCAACGGTTGTTATTTGCCACGATACTGTATGGTCGGCGGTAGCCGGTGGCCATAGAGAAGAGAAGTCTTCCCAGCAAGATGGGTTGTGAGAATACGACTAGAACGCCTGTTTGGTTATCTAGATTTTGAAAAAGAAATTTATAATAATTGATTAAATGAATAATTTAGCTTAATTTAGGAAACAAATTTTTCGACACAAAAATTAAAGTGTAATATAATTAAGGGTTTTTTTTTTTTTATTTTTTGTTTTTAGAATATAGATTAAAAAATAATTATTATATTTTTTGTCATTAAGTTACATAAAAAAAATAAAGTTTGATTTTAATTTTAACAATTAATCAATTAAATTAAAATAAATGATATTAATACTAAAATTAATATCAATTTTTTGTTTTTTATATAAATTATTGGCTAAAATATGTAGTAATTATACCCTTAATCTATGCCTAAATGTACAAGTTAAAGAAATTATATAATTAATTCTAATAAATTGTGTAAATGATTATATATAACTTTTCTTAGAAACTTTTTTTTTTTTGGGGATCTTTTTGCTTGAAAAGTAAGGGAAAAGTGAAACAATTGGTTATGAAGGAAAAAAA